AAGCCTGAACAGGCCAATAACAGCAGATGAAATTGAAACAGTAATCAAAAAAAGTCCCAGTACGCAAAAGCCCTGGACTGAATGATTTCACAGGAGAATTTTACGGAGCATTTAAGGAGGAGCTAAACCTTTCCACAGAATATTCCAGAAAATCCAAGAAGATGGAAGACTCCCAAACCCTTTATGAAGCCAGCATCATCCTAATTCTAATATCAAATACTGACACAACAAAGAAAGACAACTATAGGCCAATATCACTGATGAATATAGCCGCTAAAATCCTCAACCAAATATTGGCAAACCACATTCAGCAATATATTAAAAAGATCATACACCATCATCAAGTGGTGCTCATCCCAGGGATGCAAGGATGATACAATATTTGCAAATCAATAATCAATACATCACATAAACAAAAGGAAAGACAAAAAGCACATGACCATATCAGTACATGTGGGAAAAGCTTTTGATAAGATACAGCACCCATTTATGATTAAAAACACTAGGCAAAATGGAAATAGAGGGAGCAGTCCTCAATGTAATAAAGGCCACATATGAGAGACCCACCTCCAAGATAATACTCGATGGACAAAAACGAAAGTCTTACCCACCAAATCAGGAACATGAAAATGATGTCTGCTTTTACCACTCCCATTCAAAATGTATTACAAGTCATAACCACAGAAGTCATACAAGAAAAAGTAATAAAAGGCATCCAAATTAGAAAGAAGGAAGCAAAACTGTCATTGGTTGCAGATGACATGATAATATGCATAGAAAATCCTATACACTCCAACAAAAAACTTCTCGACCTAATAAGTAAATTAAGCAAAACAGTGGGATACAAAGTCAATATCCAGAAATCAAAGGCATTTCTGCATACCAACAACTTTGTATGCCAGCAATGAAACATCAGAAGCAGGTATCAGGAAAAAAATCCCATTTGATTTAGTAACAAAAAAAAAATAAAATACCTAGGAATAAACCTAACCAAGGAGGTGAAAGACCTGTATTCAGAAAACTACACAACACTGAAGAAAGAAATCAAAGAAGACTCAAACAAATGGAAATGTATACCATGTTGATGGATCAGAAGATTTATCATCGCAATGTCCATACCACCCAAAGTAATTGATAGATTCAATGCAATATATATTAAAGTACCAAAGGCATATTTCACAGACATAGAAGAAATACTTCAAAAATTTATATGAACTATAAACAACCCTGAATAGCTGCGGCAATTTTGAGAAAAAAAGAGCAAACTAGTAGGGATCACAATAACTGATACCAAAATGTGTTACAAGGCCACTGTAGTCAAAACAGCCTGGTACTGGCATAAGAACAGACACCTGGGTCAATGGAACAGAACAGAAAGCCCACCAATAAACCCAAGTCTCTGTGGTCAGTTAATTTTTGACAAAGGGGGCAGCAGCACAAAATGGAGTAAAAATAGCCTCTTCAACAAATGTTGTTGGAAGAGCTGGACCACTACATGCAAAAAATGAAACTTTACCACCAACTTACAGCATACACAAAAATAAATTCAACGTGGATAAAAGATTTAAATACAAGTCATGACACCATTAAAGTCTAGAGGAGAATATAGGTGGGAAAATCTCAGATATTTCACACAGCAGTATTTTCCCAGATATGTCCCCTAGAGCAAGGGGTGTAAAGGAAAGAATAAACAAGTGGGACCTCATCAAAATGAAAATTTTCTGCACGACTAAAGAAAACTATTAAAATGAAAAGAGAACCAACCATATGGGAAAACATATTTGCCAATAAGACCTCAAACATGGGTTTAAATTCCAAAATACATAAAGGACTCACATGACTCTATTCTAAGACAAGCAACCCAATTAAAAAATGGGCAAAAGACCTGAACAGACACTTCTCCAAGGAGGACATACAAAGAATCCAGAGACACATGAAAAGATGCTCATCATCACTAGCCATCAGAGAGATGCAAATTAAAACCACAATGAGATACCACTTCACACCAGTCAGAATGGCCATCATAAACAAAGCAACAAACAGGTGTTGGAGAGGTTGTGGAGAAAAAGGGACCCTAGTACACTGTTGGTGGGATTGCACACTAGTACAACCACTATGGAAAACAGTATGGAACTTCCTCAGAAAACTAAAAATGGAACTGCCTTTTGACGCAGCAATTCCACTGCTGGGATTATATCCTAAGAACCCTGAAACACCAATCCAAAAGAACCTATGCACCCCAATGTTCATAGCAGCACAATTTACAATAGCCAAGTGTTGGAAGCAACCTAGGTACCCAACAGTAAATGAATGGATCAAAAGACTATGGTATATTTACACAATGGAGTTCTATGTGGGAGAAAGAAAGGAGCTCCTACCCTTTGCAACAGCATGGATGGAACTGGAGAGCATTATACTAAGTGAAATAAGCCAGGTGATGACAGACAAATACCATATGATCTCACCTTTAACAGGAACCTAATCAACAAAACAAAGAAACAAGCAAAATATAACCAAAGACACTGAAATAGAAAACAGGCTGACAGTGTTTAGAGGGGAGAGGGGAAGGAATTTCAGGGGAATTTTAGGGGAAAAGGGGAAGGGCTTACAGGAACAAGTATAAAGGACACATGGACAAAAACCAGGGGTGGGTGGAAATGGGAAGGAGGTGGGGAGGGCTGGGTGGTTGAGCTGGGATGGGAGTAAAACATAGAAAATGGTCTTTAACAATAATTAAAATAAAATTTACATTAAAAAGGAAAAGAAACTAAATCCCAATTAATTTAAGCTGCTATAACAAAACTGATGGCTGAGAAAAAAAAAATATGCCAGCATCACTAGCCATCAGAGAGATGCAAATTGAAAGCACAATGAGGTACCACTTCACACTGGTGAGAATGGCCATCATAAACAAATCAAGAAACAAGTTTTAAAAAAAAAGTTTTAAAAAGTTTTAAAAAGTTTTAAAAACTTTTAAAAAGTTTTAGAGAGGATGTGGAGAAAAGGGAACCCTAGTGCACTGTTGGTGGGATTGCAGACTGGTTCAAACACTGTGGGAAACAGTATGGAATTTATTCAGAAAACTAAAAATTGTACTGCCTTTTGACCCAGCAATTTCAGGGCTGGGATTATATCCTAAGAACCCTGAAACACCAATCCAAAAGACCTATGCACCCCAATGTTCATAGCGGCACTATTTACAATAGCCGGAAACATTCTAAGTGCCCATCAGTAAATGAATGAATCAAAAAACTATAGTACATTTACACAATGGAATTCTATACATCTGAGAAAAAGGAGCTCCTACCCTCTGGGACAGTATGGATGGAACTGTAGAGCATTATGCTAAGTGGAATAATCCAGGCACTGAAGAACAAATATCATATGATCTTACCTTTAACTGGAACATAATAAAAGAAAAAAGCAAGCAAAATATAACCAGAGACAATGAAATTAAGAACAAACTAACAGTAATTAGAGGGGAGGTGGGGAGGGTATTATGGAGGGAAATGGGGGAACTATTTTCAGGAACAACTATAAAGGACACATGGACAAAACCAAGGAGATGAGGTCAGGGGAGGGAGGTCAGATGGCTTGGGTTGGGGGAGTGATTGATGGAAAATATAGAAAACTGTACTTGAACAACAATTTTAAAAAGAATCCTGAAATACCAATTTGCAAGTATATATGCACCCCTATACTCATAGTTACTTGTAATTGCCCAAATCTGAAAACAGCCTAAGTACCCATCAGTAGATGAGTGGGTAAAAAACAGTGGTACATTTACACAATGGAATACTACACAGCAGAAAGAAGAAGGGAGTTTCTACCCTTTGCAACTGCGTGGGTGGAACTGGAGAGCATTATGATAAGTGATATAAGCCAGGAATTGAAGGACAAATACCATATAATCTCACCTATAGGTTGATTGTAATGAACAAAAGAAACAAGCAAGCAAAATATAACCAGAGACAATGAAATAAAGAACAAACTAACCAAGGGGAGGTGGGGAGAGGGATAATGGGGAAAAATAGGGGAAAGGTCGATAAGGGACACATGGTCAACTCCAAAAGGGGGTAGGATCAAGGGTGGAGGTGGGAGTGGTGGGGGGGGGGGAATGGAGAGAACCGTTCTTGAACAATAAAAAATAATTTGTAACTATATATGGTAATGAATGTAAACTACACTTACTGTGGTGATCACTTAACAATATGTTTCTATATCTCTCCTGACCAATGTGGCTCTGTTGGTTGGGCATTGTACTGCAAAGTACAGTTTTCTAGTTCTATTCCCAGTGAGGGCACATGCTTGGGTTGCAGATTCAATCCCCAGATGGGTCACCTACACGAGGAAACTAATCGATGTTTCTCTCTCACTTTGGTGTTTCTCTCTTTTTCTCCCTCTCTTCCCCTCTGTCTAAAAATAAATAAAATTTCTAAAAAACAGTATATATATATATATGTGATCATTGTTTTTATACCTGAAAGTAATATAGTATTATATGTCAACTATATCTCAATTTTTAAGAATATATCTTTAAAATAAAATAAATGATTTATAGAGTCTAATTGATTATACGATTTCTTTTTTACATATTACCAAGTAGTTTTCTCACAAAATCTGGACAGCTTGTTATTAATATTTAAATTTCTTAAGGACCAAAAGTTTTATATTCTAGATAGTTATGTTTTTCATAACATCTACTTAGTACCCAGTATGGTTCAAAAATATAGTTAACTGGATGATTTAATGGAAATATATTGGAAGATAGCAAAATGTTTAAATGTTTTTACTACCAATATTTCCCTTATTGATTATAATAAATTAGTATATATTAGCAAAAAGAAAAGAAAACAAAATTAAAATATAGCTAATTATGCCACTCAGATGTTTGAGATGCTTGCTAATTTGCAATGTCTTATCATGTTCTGTTACCAAATCTCAGCTTCTGTCATGTTTTCTGTTTACTTGTAGGTCTCTACCTTCCAACCAGAGGAGAGGTCTACATTAATGGATATGCCATCTCAAAGAATATAATTGATATTCGAAAAAACATGGGCTTCTGCCCACAGCATGACTTGTTGTTTAATGACTTGACACTATCAGAACACCTTTATTTCTACTTTATGGTGAGTCAGCGATTTTTTAAATTATATAGTGTGTCGCTTTAGGCCTCTGTCTCCTTGTTGATTTTCTGTCTGAAATATCTATCCATTGAAGTCAATGGGGTGTTAAAATCCCTGTCTCTGATTGCAGTGCTGTCGACCTCTCCCTTTATGTCCATCAAGGTTTCCTTTACATATTTAGGTGCCCCTATGATAGTTGCATAAATGTTTACTAGGGTTATATCCTCTTGTTGGATTGTTCCCTTTATCATTATGTAGTGTCCTTTGTGTCTTACTATAGCCTTGGTTTTAAAGTCTAATTTGTTAGATATAAGTATTGCTACCTCAGCTTTTTCTTCCTTTGCATTTGTGTAAAATAACTTTTTCCATCCCTTTACTTTTATTCTGTGTGTATCTTTCGATCTAAGGTGGATCTCTTGGAGGTGGCATACACACACACACACACACACACACAAACACACACACACGTATATACCTTTTCTTCTTTTATCTTTCTTAATATATTATATTGATAGGTCTTGTTTTCTTATTCAATAGGCTACCCTATTTGTTTTGGTTGGAGTATTTAAGCCATTTACATTTAAGGTGATTATTGATATATACATAATTAGTGCCATTTTATTGTTGGGCTATTTTCCACTGTTTTTTATTCTCTCTTTCTTCTTCTTAAAGCAAGCCCTTTAACATTTGTTTCAGTACTGATCTGGTGTTAACAAACTCCTTTAGTTCTTTCTTGTCTGGGAAGCTCCTTATTTCTCCTTCAATTTTAAATGATAACCTTGCTGGGTAAAGTGACCTTGGTTGTAGGTCCTTGCTTTTCATCACATTGAATATTTCATACCACTCACTTCTGGCTTGATATGTTTCTGTTGAGAAATCAGATGACAGTCTAATTGGTGCTCCAGTATATTACCTGCTTTTCTCTTGCAGCTTTTATGGTGGTCTTCTTGTCTTTAAGCATTGTCATTTTAACTACTATGTGTTTCAATGTAGGCCTCTTTGGGTCCAACTTGCTAGGCACTCTCTGAGGTCCTGGACTTGTGTGTATTTTTTCTTTCACCAAAATGGGGAAATTTTTGGTCATTATTTCTTCAAATAGGCACTTGATCCCTTGCTCACTTTCTTCTCCTTCTGGTATTTCTATGATGTAGATGTTGTTTTGCTTCATGTTGTCCACAATGTTTCTTAAGCTCTCCTCCTTTTGCAAATTATTTTTCTGCTCTGCTTGGGTGCTTTAGTCTACTTTGTCTTCCAAATCACTAAGTCATTCCTTTGCTTCATCTAACCTACTGTTCATTCCTTCCAATGTATTGTTTCTTTCAGATATTGCTTTATTTCTGACTGGTCATTTTTTATGGTTTCTATGCCTTTTTTTCATGCTATTGAGTATCCTTGTAATCATTGCTCTAAATAGGCTATTCAATAAATTGCGTACCCCAATTTCATCTAGTTCTTCTTCTGGAGAATTCTCTTGTTCTTTCATTTGGAATCTGTTTCTTTGTCTTCCCACTTTAGCTGGTTCTTTGTATTTATTTCTATGTCTTAGGTAGATCTGCAAAGACTCTGGTGTAGGTCTTCATCAGATGCTGTTTGTGACTGGCCTGGGGCAGCTTGTTTGAAGTTATTAGCAATCCACCACATGTGGCTCCATCTGCTGGGCCTGTTTGTGTGCAGAAAGAACCAGGCTACACACCAAGGTTGGCTTTTACCAGCACCAGGCCTGGAGGAGCATCAGTTAAGTCTCCAAGCTCCCAGAAATCTGTACTGGTTGTTAAACTTAATCAATTATATAGCCTGCATATATATTGTAAACACATAAATTGTGCTGCTATGAATATTGGGGTGCACCGGTTCTTTTGAATTGGCGTTTCAGGATTCTTAGGGTATAATCCTAGCCATGGAATTGCCAGGTCAAAAGGCAGTTCCATTTTTAATTTTCTGATGAAGTCCCATACTATTTTCCACAGGGACTACACCAGTCTGCATTCCCACCATCAGTATACTGGGGTTCCCTTTCCTCCACAACATCACCAGCACTTGTTGTTCTTTGATTTGATTATGATGGCCATTCTGACTGGAGTGAAATGATATCTTATTGTAGTTTTAATTTGCATCTCTCTGATGGCTACTGATGTTGAGCATCATTTCATATGTCTCTGGATCCTTTGTATGTCCTCCTTGGAGAAGTGTCTGTTCAGGTCTTTTGCCCACTTTATAATTGGGTTGTTTGTTTTCCTGGAGTGGAGTTGTGTGAGTTCTTTATATATTTTGGAGATCAAACCCTTGTTTGAAGTATCATTTGCAAATGTATTTTCCCATGCTGTTGGTTCCTTTTTCATTTTGCTGACATTTTCTTTAGTCATACAGAATCACTTATTCTTATGTATGGTATAAGTTTGTAATCTGTTTTCATTATTTTTGCATGTACCAGTACAATTTTCCCAACACCATTTATTGAATACTCTGTTTTTACTGAATCATATGTTCTTGCCTCCTTTGTTAAATATTTTAAGGTGACCTTTTAAAATATATTTTACTGATTATGCTATTACAGTTGTCCCAATTTTTTTCTCCACTTTTCTTCCCTCCATTCTACACCCCCCTCCCACCCGTATTATGCCCCCCCAACTTAGTTCATGTACATGGGTTGTACATATAAGTTCTTTGGTTTCAGCATTTCCTATACTATTCTTAACCTCCCCCATCTATTTTGCACCTACAATTCATGCTTCTAATTCCTTTTACCTTTTCTCCCACTCTTCCTTCTCCCCCTCCCTACCAATAACCCTCCATTTCTGTGATTCTGTTCCTGTTCTAGTTGTTTGCTTAGTTTTTCTCTTTGTTATTTTTTAGGTTCAGTTGTTGATTGTTTTGAGTTTGTAGTCATTTTGTTGTTCATGTTTTTTATCTTCTTCTTTTTCTTAGATAAGTCCCTTTAATATTTCATGTAATAAGGGTTTGGTGATGATAAACTCCTTTAACTTGACCTTATGAAGCACTTTAGCTGCCCTTCCATTCTAAATGAGAGCTTTGTTGGATAGAGTAATCTTGGATATATGTCCTTGCCTTCCATGACTTTGAATATTTCTTTCCAGCCCCTTCTTGAATATAAGGTTTCTTTTGAGAAATCAACTAATAGTCTTATGGGAACTGCTTTGTAGGTAACTGTCTCCTGTTCTCTTGCTGCTTTTACAATTCTCTCCTTCTCTTTTTTTTTTTAATTTTACTTTTTTACTTTTAGAGAGGAGGAAGTGAAGGAGAAAGAAAAGGAGAGAAACATCAATGTGTGGTTGCTCTCATGTGCCCCCAACTGGGCACCTGGCCTGCAACCCAGGCATGTGCCCTGGCTGGGAATTGAACCAGTGATGCTTTGGTTTGCAGGTCCACGCTCAATCCACTGAGCTACACCAGCCAGGCTGTCCTTATCTTTAATCTTGGGTAATATAATTATGATGTGCCTTGGTGTGCTTTAGGTCTAACTTCTTTGGGACAGTCTGAGATGCCTGAACTTCCTGGAAGTCTATATCCTTTGCCAGATTAGGGAAGTTTTCCTTCATTATGTTTTCAAATAAGTTTTCCATTTCTTGCTCTTCCTGTTCTCCTTCTGGCACCCATATCATTCAGATGTCAGAACATTCGAAGTTGTCTCAGATGTTCCTAAACCTCTCCTCAGTTTTTTGAATTCTTGTTTCTTCATTCTGTTCCAGTTGGATGTTTATTTCTTCCTTTTTTTCCAAATCATTGATTTCAGTGCCAGTTTTCTTCCCTTCACTGTTGACTCCCTGAATATTTTGCTTTACTTCACTTTGGGTAGCCTTCATTTCTTCCTTCATTTTGTGACCGAGCTCAATCCATTCTGTGAGCATCCTGATTACCAGTGTTTTGAATTCTGCTTCAGATAGGTTGTCTTTCTCTTCATCACTTAGCTCTTTTCCTGGAGCTTTGATCTGTTCTTTCATTTGGGCCATATTTCTTTGTCTCAGTGCACCTGTTATGTCCTGGGTGGGTGGAGCCTTTGGTATTCACCAGGGTGGGGCACTTTGTGTCCCCACCCTGAGTCTGACATGAGTATGACCCCCCACCCACAGCAAGTGCCACCTCATGGCTGGGTTGTGGCACTTGCTGTGGGTGGGGGGTCAGAGAGGGAACAATGCCGCTGACTTGCTCCTCTCCAGCTCAACTTTCCAACAAACTCTCCTGTGAAACTGGGAGTTTCTCCTGTTGTCGCTACCCCACCCCTGCAGTTTTTTACAGATAAACATGAGTCTTTATTTTCCCATTCAGCCATCGCCAACTCACCTGCATGGCCTGCCACCTTCCCACGAATCCTCTCTGCTCAGGTGCCTGTCTCCCATTTCCACCATTCCTACAGGTCTGGGTGAATATTTCTCTGACTCCTTGGTTGTTGGAGTTCCATGCAGTTTGATTTTCTGGCACTTCTGGTTGTTCATTGTTTTAAATTGATTGTTGTCCTACTTTTGGTTGTGAAAGGAAGCGAAGCATTTCTACCTACACCTCCAGCTTGTCCAGAACTCATTGTTCCTCTAGTTCTTGTTGATGAAGGGTTAGGCTATTTAGTTGAGATTTTTCTGTCTTCTTTAGGTAGGCCTGTAATGCTATGAACTTCCGTCTTCTGGCTGCTTTCACTGTGTCCCATAGATTTGGGGTTGTTGTGTGATCATTTTCATTTGTTTCAAGATACTTTTTGATTTACCCTTGATCTCATTGTTTACCCATTAATTATTTAGTAACATGTCATTCAACCTCCATGTTTTTTAATGTTTTTGATGTTTTTCATTGTTGCTGGTTTCTAGTTTCAAGCCATTCTGATCTGAGAAAATGCTTGATATGATTTCAATAGTCTTGAATTTGTTAAGGCTTGTTTTGTGTCCTACCATGTTTTCTATCTTTGAAAATGATTTTCTTTCCTTTGAGAAGGATGTATGTTTTGCTTCTTTGAGGTGAAATATTCTGTAAATATTAAGTCCACTTAATCTAGAGTA